TTGGAACCGCATTTAATACAACAATCTCATTAACTTTGCGTGGGAAAACTTGAAAGCTTTCTGCGCAGACTAATTCTTAGAAGTGAAGTCTTGCTTCKCCTTCTTTTTGAAAATATATCTAAATTTCKGTTCCTGCGGTSCAAACACATTCGTCAAAACTRCATTAACGTACCAAAAAAATTTGCTGGTTTTGAAAACACTATCCTTTACTATCCCTTAAGAAAGTTTTTAGTAATCTTCTTCAATAAACTTAGCCACTTGGGTAAAATTTCGTCATAACCTTAAATTAAACATTACTAAAACTCYRTTTCCTATCATCYATTACAGAAATGGTCCGGTTATCGTAYCGCCAATGATTAAGTTCCTCATACAGTTGACACACAAGAGTGATCGCAAACTTATAACTATACCGAAAATCATCAGTATCACCAACAATTTACTGGCCAACAATGCGGTGCTCGATTGCGCTGTGCTCGCACTGAAATCGCTCTCTTACGAGATCTTCTTCATGCCGCCCGTCGGTGGCAGTGCTGCACTCAATACGTTAGCTGATTATCGGGCACCCTTCCAAAGTCCCGTTACACGTTCGCCGGTACAACAACGTCGGCATGCTGCAGAGGAGTCGGCCGCCGCTGCTGCCGCGGCTGAAGCGCTTTTGGCGAACAGTCGCGAATTGGATACGCAGAAGGAAGTTGTGTTGGGCATGTTGGAGAAATTCGTGGATGCCACTGAGTTGCAACATGTTGTGGCTTTGTTGTTGTTGCGCGAACGTTGTGCCCAGCAAATGGATGGTGGCGCTTTTGCGCGACGCATGGAAGGTGGTGATGCCGCTACGGTGGAGCGGCAGAAAAGCAGTTGCATTTTGGAATCAACGCGATTGCARGATCCCGGCGTGGTGTATGCTCTCATTTGCCGCGCCATGTGYGATGGACGTTTGGGCGTGCACAACTGGCGCGACTTTTACACGCTGGAGTCGTGTTTCAAGAATTATAGCAAATATGTGCTGGCGGATAGCAAGAATTTTCTGGCTTTGCTGCAACTATTTTTAACGGAGGTGAGTACAGAGTTTCATRTYTCTATATAATCGGTTGTCAAAAAARKYCTKSMGKWWTTYYTYCSGKAWTTTTWWTKRAWTTTYMAWTKKTYMWWAAAWTTTTTTTTGATGAATCATGCTCAGCTCTTGACCGATGCTGCGGCTGCTACTATGCCGGTATCTTTCGACCAATTCAGCGATTTTATCGCAATTTTCGACGACAGGCCTCCTGGAGCGTGGCGCATCTTCGACTACCTCTACACTAGAACGAAAACGTTGAAATCATCGTTGTGMGGTGGAAATGGAAACTGTATCGGGTCCATAAACTGCACAAATTTTATTGGCGGTTTGAGATGGATTTTTGCCTTTATCGTAGTAGTACTGTAAAATATGCCGTATTTTCTTTATTTTGCTCATGTTTGCGACGCTATAACTCACRAACGACTTAAAAGAAACGACAATCAACGACAAACACGTGTTAGCGCGTGAAATGAGCTTTCCAAAAAGGTATAAMATGATCCGATGTGATGAAAACTAGAACCACGCGCTCTCAGAGCCAACTAGCGAAAATACTGCAAGACTTTTTTGACAACCTAATATTAATGCGAGTTATTGTGAAAATTAAGTTGTCATAATATAAGAAATGCAGAAGTAATTATATAGAGAGTGATTCTTAGATATCCCTAGTGATCGGTTCTGTAATTGAATCTCCCTCTCCTTTGTATCTATTTTGTTTAACTTTTGGAATTTAATATTATCAATAAAACCTACGGTTTAAAGTTGGTTCCCCTTAAGCTCAAACCTCTTAGTGTAGTCTAGTCGTAACATATGGTACTAAAATGGAGCGAGATTCAAAGAGATCGAAGTTTACTTAATTTTCAAGGATTAAAGCTTGGAAATACTTTCATATGTAGATTCTCTTATTTGTTTTTTATTTCTTTAATATAGTGGTATGGTTTTTCACGAATAATTTGTAGATATTCTTCGTACCAGATTCGGCAATTGTATTTACCGCAACGCTCAGATGAAGGTGAGTCTCTTCGGAGACGATGATTTTCTTAAAACACTCGTTATCGTTTTCAAGTTGCTCCAAGGCGAAATCAGCAAATTCACGACGTTTACGGTGCTCCAATGGTTTCAGTGCTTGACTGAGAACAATTTTATACGAATGCAACAACAAATCCTTTCTTAAAATCCACCAGGTTCTGATTTGAGGCGATCCCAATGCGTGACAATGTCTTGGAATCGACGAATTGCGGTCTTCAGCAATACTTGCCTAAACGGCAGCAATGTTTTCATAACTTCGAGTGGTCTTTATCTTATTGGCAACATTATATATATAAAAAAAAAATGTAGGATGAAAAAGATAATGTYTCTGAATTTCAATAATATCCCATAGAGTTCTGCCGATATTTTCTGTAAAAAAATCTGCTATATGCACTGAGCTCCATATTTTCGATATCTGGTGACTTGAAAAGTTATGATGCGATGTCGACTATTTTAACCCGTTAAAAGGCATACCTTAGAGTCATCGTCCTGAAGTTTTGTTCTAAGAAATTCATTGGTACTTGTTTATATTCTGTAAAAAGAAACAATCTAATGGGATTTAAAATTTTGATACATATCAAGCAGGCGTAGTTTTTGTACACTTTCACTCATTTCCACAATCTAAATATGGATATCGGGAGAATAATACACGTACCTTGAGTTTTAATTTTTGATAACTATAAAATTTATCCGTACCAGAGGGATATACCTTTTCAAGATGTACAAGTATACAAAATTTCATCAAAGTATCGTAAGATGTACTCAAGTTACTGGAATTCAACTAGTCATCCTATGCATATATATCTGGCTTAGTTTTAGATGGTACAAAGAACCGTAAGTGAGTAGGTAGGCTATCTCTTTAACCTCCGACTATTGTTTTCTCTCTGTACCACCCCATGCTTCTAATGAAGTTTATCTGTACGACATGTTTTAATCCTTATAGTTGCGATTCGCTTGCTATAGGTATTTTCTACAAATCTTATTATCAAGTGTTCCTAGTCTATTGGCATGTGCGCCAATAGTATTAGCATACCTTTTGCAGGTTTTGCAGGTTTATCGTAAAATATGTGGGATGTAAGATCCCCTAAGAGGTCATGAGATTATTTCATTATCTCTGACGAAACCATTAGAGGCTTTAGTAATTTCAAAGCGTTTTGGATATAGATGGATACTACATGTACATTTCCTTGCTTGTAAAATCGTAAAATCAGAAACCAGTAAGGGTTTCTTTAATTGCTGAGATCTGCGCTGATGAACCCGGTAGACGGAAAACAATTTTACCTTCTATTTTTGAGGAAAAGACACCACTTCCGATACGTTTATTTAGTTTGAACCCTTTCGTACCCATTCGTCCCTGTCCACCTGCTCCTTTTTCATTCTGCTTTGAGAGGTTAAATTTTTGGGGATAAAGGACTGTTAGATGAACAAAAAAATGGACTTGTATGTATTAATATATTTGAGTTGTATTGTATGTCAMAATTTTTACAACCCGATACTTTCGTCTATTCTTCTAAAAATAGTATTGAGAGTACTTTTTGTTTCGATACTGCTCAGCAGTACATAAAACTACCAAAAAGCTAATMGACTCATATTAGAGTGGATCGCAAGTTTTCCCATAAGAGTTCATTTTATTTGTATTGGAGGTATTCTGAGTAAAAGTGAACTTAGTAAAATTATATTTGTCAGCACAGGACACTTGCAATTAAGACCCCAGCTTCAAAAATTTAAAATGTGGATTCGGATAAAAGGATGCTGGAACATGTTCTTTGTGAATACCCAGCCTTTAGCCATATGAGACGCGATATTTTCTCTGGCGCCCAACTTAAGAGCCATTAGAGGCAGCTGGTGAAAAAAATATCACATTTTGTATCAAGCCAACGGAGTTGCTGGAGAAGGCTTAATTTGATTACCACTCTGGTATAAAACGGGGCTAAGCGCGGCCTTCTTGGTTATGGGGCTCCTGTGTCTCTCTTTTCAGTGAACCAAACATTGAATTTCTTGAAGTATGYAGTGATTTCAGTATTAGGCTTCAGAGTACCGGCATATATTTTTCAATTTAATCCTAACCTTTGACCGAGAATTTTGAATTATATCAAAAACAATATATTTCTTTGAATTATTTTAGATCTTTAAAAGCACAAATTCTTTTACAAATTTCTATATTTTTTTCGGGCAATAATTTCTGAAAATCACTGATTAAAGAACACCCACCCCAACGCACAAAGCTTCGGCAATTTGGTGTATTACCCATTCATAGCGATCGCCACGAGAAATCCGCTCTAAYAGTCGTATTTCCGTCGAAGCTTGTATTTATTAAACTTTACAACTCTTTTAAAGCTGCGCAAAGCTATCGATTTGGTGGTAAAAACGCGTACAAAAAATGATAACAGAAAACTATTTTAATACAGTTTCCCAATGGTGTTCCATAGTCGCCAGTGCGGCTCGTTGTTGCCAAAGACTGAACACACTGATTTCATGATTTTACGAGCTTTTGCTATGTTGCATGCTAAATATTGCACATTAGTTGTTGTTGTTGCACGTACTGGCGTTGTTGTTGGTGCATGCACGCAGCAAGCGCTAAGCCCCAGCATAAGTCACAAAAGAGCGCGCGAGCAAACAATCTCGCTAATGGAAACCGTAGTGGCGTTCATGATGGAGCCAATGGTCATGTTGGTGATGGTGGTGATGTTGGTGGTGTGGACGGTGTGTAGCTGCTGTTGGCCGCTAATACACACAYACATGCATTTAAAAGCATAAAAATAAACACATTCATTCTAGATTTTGTGGAAAAGTATGAAAAAAATGTTTACTAAATACATATGTACGCAGAAGTCCATGTCCTCACACACACACACACACGCACATATACAGCAGAAATGTTTCGACCATATTTTCATTGGCGTATCCGTACAATCACTACAACGATTTGTTACTGTTGACTTAATGAAAATTTCGCACCGACGTGATTTCTTTATGAGTTTCAACAAAAAATAACGGAAAATTCCATCCTTAAATTTCCACCAGACATAGACAAATAATCAGTTCAGAATGATCATGCAAGTTTTAGGTTAATGAGTAAGTTTTTATCATAGAGCAAAACAGTCGAATACCAAATTTGAGGGTTATCTAACCGAAATTAGATAAGAAACCGAAGAGCGGTAATTCGAAATTAGTAACCTTAGACTCTTATAAAAGATTGTAACTTCTCTAATCAGCTCTGCAGCTCGTATTATTTACTCCAGCGGTGTTTTAAAGAAGTTACAGGGAGTCTGCTTGTCTGAAACCTGTGTGTCTATCTTCCTGTCACGGGTCTTACGTAGGGCGTAGAGTCAAAATCTGCTCCATTGTAGATTTTCCAGATGATCTAAAGCCACACTGATAAGTTCCAATCAGTTTGTTAACGGTGGCCTTTAGTCTTTCACACGGTACGCTCTTTAAAATCTTATATGTGTTGTTGAGTAGGCTTATCCCACTGTAGTTGACGCAGGTTGTGGGGTCTCTCTTTTTGTGGATTGGGTACAGCACACTTAAATATCAATGCCTTCGTCCGAACATATTTTACAAAGAAGCTGATGCATACTCCTTATCAGTTCTTCGCCGCCGTATTTGAATATCACGGCTGACAACCCATCGAACTCCGCCACTTTGTTGTTCTTCAGACGGGTGATTACTATTCGAATTACTCTAAAAAAATGTGTTCCAGCGTCTTTTTCATGCCTACTTTACCGCATTTGTGACCTAAGCCAACAACCGTCCTTTCGAGACTGTGTGAGTAGTAAGTATTCGTATTTTCCTTCCGTTTCTTGCACCTTGGATATCCTTTAGTCATTTCATCTCATTCTGATCCGTTTGTCAGCCCTTCGAAGTATCATTATACATCACTTTTAGCGCCTTGTGTATTTCTAGTACTTTTTCGGTAGCCAAACGCATGACTTTTATGACAATTTGATCAGCTATTTCTTTTCCATTGTATA